ACAATGAGACTTAGACTAGTGGAAAGCACATGCACAATGGAGAAGAGTTTCAACAAAGTAAAGATCCGGAACATGAACTTGACAATGAGACTAGAGTAGTGGAAAGCACATGCACAATGGAGAAAAGTTCAACAAAGTTAAGATCCGGAATATGAACTTGACAATTAGAGACTAGACTAGTGGAAGCACATGCACAAAAGAGAAGAGTGCAACAAAGTAAAGATCCGGAAACATGAACTTGACAATGAAGACTAAACTAGAGGAAAGCACATGCACAATGAGTAGATGTCAACAGGGTAAAGATCTGGAACATGAACTTGACAATGAGACTTAGACTAGTGGAAAGCACATGCACAATGGAGAAGAGTTTTAACAAAGTAAAGATCCTGAACATGAACTTGACAATGAGACTAGACTAGTGGAAACACATGCACAAAGGAGAAGATTTCAACAAAGTGAAGAACCGGAACCTGAACTTGACAATGTGAGACTAGACTAGTGGAAGCACATGCACAAAGAGAAGAGATCAACTTAAGCAAAAATCCGGAATATTAACTTGACAAATGAGAGACTAGACAAGTGGAAAGCACATGCACAATGGAGAAGAGTTCAATAAAGTGAAGAACCGGAACATGAACTTGACAATGTAGACTAGAGTAGTGGAAGCACATGCACAAAGGAGAAGATTTGAACAAAGTGAAGGACCGGAACATGAACTTGACAATGTGAGACTAGACTAGTGGAAACACATGCACAAAGAGAAGAGATCAACTTAAGTAAGGACCCTGGATATGAACTTGACAAAAGAGAGACTAAACTAGATGGAAAGCACATGCACATAGGGGGAAGATCATCTGGAACATCATACAAAGTATGAACAAGATAATGAGTAGCTAGACTAATGAAAAAGCACATGCATGCGAGGGGGAAGATGAACCGGAACATGACACTAGGTATGAACAAGACAAGGAGATGCTAGACTAGATGGAAAGCACATGCACATAGGGGAAGATCATCCGGAACATTATACTAAGTACGAACAAGACATGGAGATGCTAGACTAGATGGAAAACAAATGCTCATAGGGGGAAGATCAACCGGAACATTACACTAAGTATGAACAAGACATGGAGATGCTAGACTAGATGGAAAGCACATGC